TCTCTGTGAGAGCGGCTTCTTAGTTTACATCCTGCCTTCCCCCATTATGGCACTGACCACCAAACTGGCTTTTTCCTGCCTGGAAATACTGGGCCTTGGGGGTGTTTCCCTTATTAAGTTGTATTGGAGTAAAGGTTTTCAAAGTGTGACCTGTGGGCCAGTAGTATCAGCATCTTGGGGGGAAGGCGCATATTTTGGAGACCCACCCTGATCCATGGAATCAGAAACTCTGGATCCAGCCCAACACTCTGGTTTTAACAAGTCTGCTAGTTGATTCTAATGCTCAAGTATTAGAATGTGAGGTTAAAGGAAGGGATTTGGATCTGAAACAAGAAAGGGCTATAAGACAAAAGGACTCAGCTCTTTAAATTTCTCTAGTCACTAATTTGTTTCCTGTTCACTTCATCTTCTATCTTTTTTGAATGGTCCTCCTTCTTTGGCCTTTGTGCAGAAATAGTCAAATCTAGAGTCTAAATATATAATGAGAGGAAACAAGCAGATTCTGTGAGTTTCACTGTGTTCCAGCTTAGTCATAGTTTGTAATTCCTCTGACCTCTCTCCGTGGAGCTCTTATCTGTAAAAAGAATTCCATGTCCTCAGCATTGCCTGGGTATGTCAGCATCACTATAAAATCTGAAGGGAAAACATTAATTTTGGTTGTAATGTTTTTCAAGTTGGATTGTTGGAGAATCTGAACTTTCTCAGATTTGAATAGCATCATCTACAGAGTGAGGAGTTAAGTGTCAGTCTGCAGGTGCTGCTGACCTACGTTGAACTTCTTGTCACTATGAGACAAGATATGCAAGTGGTGAAAGTTTTTTGTTCTACTTTTACTTATTAAAGTCAAATATTCAATTTAAGTGATTCTTTTAGGGTTGTACTAAAGTATCCTTCAAATTTTTAATTTTTCATATGTTTTTAGTGTGCATATTTAATAAACCAAAAATTGAAAACCCTGAGACACCTCACTTGAAAAATGATTAGTGACAAAATGCAAAATGTCTACAGATATAGACAAATTCTAATATCCCTGAGTGCTTTCAAAATTCTATGTTCTCAATCTTATTATTCCAACCTTAGATGACAATCTACTTCAAATCTTCTCTTATGATTGAATCAATTCCTAGATTTTTCATTAATAAAATAACTCTCTAGTTCTGTTATAAATGTTTAGAGGGAAAGCTCTGTCCAGTTTAGAAATTCAGTACATTATTAATGTGATGGAATCACAGATTTTTTGTTTATGAAATAGTTCTTATCACTAAAAGTCCTCTGATGTATGTTGTTGCAATAAGTTTAAGGACTGAAGAAATCCATTTTTTTCCACCACCCTTTTAATGTACTATAAGTTAGTGTTTTTTGTTTCTTCAAACTCCAGACCAGGAGTCCCATAGATGAGACAATTTCAAGTGGCTGATGAGTTACTAGAAGAGCCAGAACTTAGTTCTGAAGCCAAGCCTAGGTTTCTTCGTCACATCCAGCTGACTTTGATTTTTTTCTGCATTTGTTTTAACTCCTGCAACATGCAAAGTACTGTGATAAAGGCTTTGCTGAGGTCAGTGGTTTCAAATCCAGGGTGTATGTTCCCTTATATATACACACATGATAAGTTTTTTTTTAAAAATAAAACTTAACGGGGAGTGTGTGCTGCATTATGTTTGCTTGTGTATATGTGTAGGAGAAAGAGAGCGACAGAGAAGAGAGAAAGACACAGACAGAGAGAGGAAGGAAAAGGAATGCCACTCCAGGAGAAATGCAACTTATCCTCTGTAATCTCCTGGGGCTGCCCGTGGAAAATCTACAGCCTTCTACTATCTCTTTCAGAAGAGCCTCCACTGTTATTTCTAGTGTGATCTACACATCTTCCCAGCTAACTTGCTTCAGGCATCTCATCTTCAAAGTTTCCAGTAATGTTCACAAGTGGCTTTCAATTCAGGGAGACCGATCTATAAATATAACACTTATTTCATCCTCCAAAATGTATTAGAGTCAAGGGGGCAGGGAAAACTAACCAGGAGAGTCAGATGTAGGGCAAGGTTTCTATGTCAAGAATAGGAGCTCTCAGCTCTTTGGAGCCCCATGGTCGTTTTTCAATCCCAGGCCAGCATCATGCAGGGGGTTTCTTCATGAATGGCCCTCATCTAACTGTATCTGTGCTTGAGAAATAAAAGAAGTGAGATAGAGAGAAGAGTGTGATAATCACTTTCCTTGACATTGGGACACGACACCAGCATCCGCGACTTAAAGGAGGAGAGGTTTCTTTTGGCTCACAGACTCGGTCCATGCTAGGCTGGCTCCAGAGCAGGAATAGAATGACCCAGGGGCATGGCACAGGAAGAGATGTGAAATCCATGGAAACCAGGAAGCAGAGAGAGAGAGTAGAGAGAAGTCTGAGAAACTTATGTTTCCTGTCATACCTCTGTGACCTGCTGCCTCTTCAGACAGGGCCAAATTCCTAACAACATCCAGTCATGAATTCAGTGGCTTAATCCACTGAGTGGTATAGCACCTCTGTGATTCAGCCTCCTTTAGAAAGCTCTGCCTCAGAACAGATGCGTAACCTTGAGGAAGGTTCTAGTTGCATACCATAACAAAGAGGAAATGAAGACTCCAAGGATAGTGAAGAAAATTTCGAGGTGGATGGAGAACTAAATCATAGAACAGGTATGGCAGAAGGAGAGAAAAGAAGGGAAGGATGAGTGGAAAATTAAAAAAAATAGTGAGGGGGAAAACAGTAGAATACATAGGATAATCAAGCATTTTAAAGTGGTGAAAACAAGATTAAAATATTGAGTAACAACTAATTTAAGAAATACTCTGCAATATGCACATGCATGTGTGGCTGCTTCTCAAAGGAGCTCATGATCTCACTCACTGAGATCAAACGGTACTGATGCTCTGGGCAGAGAAACAATAATATAGAACTCCATAAGGACTTCTCCATATGCCCACTGCTGATTTTAGTCACTTGGTTCTTTACAGTGGGTATGCTTTTTGTAGTGTCATTAGTGCTTGTTAGTAAATTATGTTGCTTGATCTTCCATCTGGGTTTTGCACTCCATTCTCTTCTATTTCAGATCCATGATCTGGCCTTGGTGAGCATCCTTCTTTTCTTCTGGTGGTTATTAGGTCTACTGACATTTAGTCAATGACTCTGACTTGTGGAATGAATTCAACACTTTCACCCTAGTTATGGAAGTCATTGTTTCTGAGTCTTGCAACTGGAAAAGTGAAGAAAGATTGTTCATTGGACAGAAGAGAAGAAAAAGATCAGAGAATGGTTTTAAAGTGACCAGGTGCTCGCTGAGACACAGACCAGATACTCCATTTCTATAAAAGTGGATTTTTGACTCCATATCTATGACACTAGTTATATTTTCTTGCAAGTGAATATTATAATATTTGTTTCAAAACTTTTGAAGAGATTAAGAAAAATATGGAGTACTACTCAGATATAAAGAATGATCACATTAAGATATTTATAAATAAAGGGATGCAGCTTGAAACCATACTCATAAGCGAAATAAATCAAACTCACATCCATAAATACTGTACAGTCTCTCTAGCATAAGAAATGGTAAGAGTTTATGGTAATCATGATTCCCCATTACATTGCTTTGAAGCCTTATAATGTTTTCATTCATTAGTTGGAATGCTTTTATCCTGGTTTGTTTGATTTTATTATCTGTGATGGTATGAACAGCTATTTTGAAAAAACAAGACATTATAATAGCCAGTGCTGATTTACTAGCATCTTGCTTTGAAGTCCTACCATGCTTTTGCTCTTCTGTTTCCATTGGTTCTATCATGTTGTATTTTATTGGATTTTATTATGTGTGATAGTATAAACAAACTTTTATGGACAATGAGATAATATAGTAGCCATTGTTTGCTTTCTGTTATTTGATTCTGAATGTCCTGTAATACTTTCACTCTCTTGAATGGTTTTATATTATTTTGTTATGTTTGATACTATTGTATGTGAAGTTATGCTCAACTATTTCAAAGAAAGAGACATTCTGATAGCTACTGTAATATCAGGTTGTCTTGTGGTGAAACACTGTGTTGCTTAAATTGTTCTGTTCTGATCTGCTTTGTTATGTCCTCTTTTATCTTAATCTCTTTAAAATAAAAAAAAATTAAAAAAAGAAAAGCACTGAAATGGTGCTTGCATGTTCACGCTGGTACACAGTTAACAAGGTCCCTCCCCTTACAATTTGTACACACAACAGATGCAAATGAAGACTAAGATGGCTTCACTGATTACAACTTTAGTATCTCTTAGTCAACATATAATGAAATAGAAATGTGAGTGAGTGGATGATAACTGAATGAATAAAAGTTATATCTCTCCTAGTTTTAAATATATGCAAAAATATTTTTATAAATTTCCTTAAAGTAAGAAACATCTCAAAATATGTGCTTATGCAGAATACCTCCTCTGTTGAGCCTGAGGCAAAGCACACCTATAAATGGAGCTATCAGTTGTTCACAAGTAAAATTTCTTGCAATACACATATGTATTTCTGTGTTCACTGTCTTTGAGGTGTCTCCCAAAGCATGCTGGGAGACCCCATTTTTCTATTTTCTTGTAAAAGCACTAAAGGGAATTTAGAAGATAAAAATTATGGAAAGTGGACAGCAATGAAAATATCATTTCACTCAGGTTCATAAATCATTTAAAAAATTCTTCTCTCATTTCCCGCCAATAAGCAGATTTATTGAAAATTTCTCACCAACCCTTTCAGGGAAGATTTCTCCTGTTCGGAAGAGAGAAGGTTTTGACCTAAATTGCCTATGAGCTAAGCCAGAATGTGATTGTAATTCTGTGGCTCCATTTCAAAACTAGCCTGTGTTTTACAGAATTTCAAACATCTAAGTCATTTCCAGGCATAGGAGCTAAAATTGGCCAGGGTGGAACTTGCGGCTGTCAGAACTGATAAACATTTCCTGAATGCCAATTGGTTGGAGAACCATGTCTCTGAATGCCATTAAAAGAGTCTGAAGTCTACCTCAACACATAATCCCAAGTTGCAATTGCCTGGTGGGAAACTGAGACTTTGTTTGGACAAACTCAGTCAACTTTTTCAGCCCCACATTCTGCCAACGAGGGGTCTTAAGAAGGCTGAGATCTCTGGGTGAGTCAGGCCAAATCTTTCAGTTCCCTTTTAGGATAAGAATAATACAGCTAAAATATTTTTCTTCCAGGGATTAGGGCCTTGTCACAAGGACTGCTGCTTTTCATGGACCTGAAAACTTTCAAGAAAAGAAAAAGTTAGAAACAAAGCACCTAAAATTTACCATGATAGGGCAAAGATAGGTTTGATCATGGCCAAGACCCTTTTTCTGTGTTGGAGGAGATTTATTTCCTAGGGCAAAGTTTATCTTTGGCAAAACTGGGAGAGGATAGTGATCTCCCCTCTCTCTATATATATATCATGTGTAAAAATATATATGCACGTGATATATAGGTATATTGATAGCTGCAGCTGTCAGAATTGATAAACATTTCCTGAATGCCAATTGGTTGGAGAATCATGTCTTTGAATACCATTGAAAGAGTCTGAAGTCTACCTCAACACATAGCCCCAAGTTCTAATTGTTTGATATATCTATATCTATATCTATATCTATATCTATATCTATATCTATATAACATATATCAACTATAGAAGGGGATGGGTGTCTGAGGCTCAGAGATACTTGGAATCAGGAATGATAATTCCACAACTTGCTTTTTTTTCTTTGCCTCCTTCATTTATATTTCTGCCTTGAGTAAATTCCATTCTCTCCTACTATAGAATGGCTTCTTTTATAATGGAGGACCTACTTGCCTACAGCTCTAGTGCTTTATATCTAGTGCCTAGGAGTTTCTTCTAGTTTGGAGCCAGAGTTCACAACTGTTGAGGAAGTGCTTTATGGTAATGTAAGTCAGGTCCACATTATTAAAACAGTCAATTGAGGTCAGCAGAGCAAGGTTCTAAAATGGGCTCAGCTTGTTCAGGGCTAGAATCCTATTTGAACCACTAAGATAGCAGCGGAAAAGGGAGTTTCTAGAAGTAGGATGGACTAAATAAAGTTATATATGATTATCAAAAAAATTAACAGATATTTGTTAATCTCTCTCACACATGCTAATTTTAAGATAAATAAACAAAAGAAGGCAGAGTCTGAGATATTTAGAACACAATTTCTAGGCTTCTACCCACTGAGGGAGACCTTATGCTATTACTCTCCTTATCAATATCTCTTCAACATTGCTTCCTCAACTCTAGTATAGGCATATCTTTGCACAATGGAAAAGTTCACGGGAAATGTGTGTAAATCAATATTTCTAAAGAGAGAATCAAACTCTAAATGTACTGATGAATCTATTGTTCAAACAACCTTTAACATTGATAGTTTTGCTTACAGTGTTGAATAGCGTGAGAATCTATCTTGTGTCTGCATACAGATTTTATACTGGCCCTACTTAAATTGGAAAGAGGCAGTCAAACGCCTACACATTAAACTTGCAGTTTTGTTAATCTGATGCTCTGGAAATCATTTTTGGGTTGCATCACGTGTGCTTTTTCTGGCACTATGATTATGACAGCCTTTTGTGGCTTATAGTTTTCTTTCTAACTGAAGGATCTTGGACAAGTTACATATCCGTGTTAAGCCTCACTTCCCTCTTCTGCAAAATGGGAATTTTAACACAAGTAAATTTTTTAGCCTGGTGTGGAGGATCATTCTTATAATCCCAGCATTTTGGGAGGTTGAAACAGGATAATTGCCCTGTATTTACAGTTTAGCAACTTAGCAAAACCCTGTCTCACAATTAAAAAGAAACAGACTGAGGATGTAACTCAGATATAGCTCAGAATCGAAGACCTCTAAAAAGAATAGTTTTGTTTTAAAATGTAGTTGTGAGGTTCAAAACGAGACAAATTTATGAAAATACATTTAAATTGTATATTACTTATAAGATACTAATATAAATGTTATTAAATTGTATTATTTAGTATTTTGAATTTCTTATTAACCAAGGCCATGTAATGTCCTTTCTCATCATGTGCATTCTGCTATGCCCACTTTGCCAAAACAAAACACCATGGACCAGGTGGCTTAAACAACAGAAAACTATTCTTTACAATTCTGGAGCCCGGCCGTCTAAGATCAAGGTGTTGGCAGGTTTCATCTGTTCTGAGGCCTCTCTCCAGGGGTGCAGATGGCTGCCTGCTTTCTACACCTGCACCTGGACTTTCCTCTGTGCATGAGCACACTTCTGATGTGTCTTTCTCCTCTTGAAAAACACAAGTCCTGTTGATTCTGGACTCTATCCATATGACCTCATGCAACATTAATCACTCTAAAAGACCCTGTATCCAAGTGCAGTCACACTGGAAGTTATGGCTTCACTATATCAATTCTGAAGTGGGACATAATTCTGAGCACAACACCATCCAATAATAATGAAAGTAGAAGCTGCTCTAGAAAGATGATAGGCTAATTGTTTAAAGTGTATTTTCAATAGGCAAAACAAAGGCACATATGTTTGAAAAAACAGGTAGCAAGTTTGAGGACTTAAAAGTTCCACCAGTTTGTAGGCAGGTAGAAGAAGATGTGTTTCATAGAACTCAGTAAATTGTGAAAGGGATGAATGGATAATTAGGAATAGATGATGGAGAATGACTGAACAAGTAACTTATAAAGGAATGATGAAATAAATGGTGTAGAAATGACATCTCCTACATTCTGTTCTCACAGAGAAAACTGACAGGCTCCACCAAAAACCTTCCCTTCACCAGGTCCCTACTTCCTCATTTGGAAGCTATTCATGGTCACCAACTTGGCCTACTCACCATGTACATATCAATCAAGAGGCAAAATACCCATGAAACTTTCTGAAATTCCAAATGATCATCATGTCCTTGTCCTCTGAGACGATCCCTGATAAAATTATCCTATATAAACCTTTGCTAAATTCAAATAACAAGAAGTTTATGGGACTTGAAGGAGAAAAGTTAAGTAAAGAGTAATAACAGATGGTGACAAGGGAGAAGAATGTAATGAGTGTTATACAAAAGACACAGTACAGACCTTGCAGACTCCAGCTACCATGAGATCCTAGGAAAATCTCCAGGTAACTTCTTAAAACTAGTCACTAATACAGGCAAGCTGGGATGTGGAATGACTTGAGGGTTATAGGAATCCTGAACCTCAAACACTTTTATTTTAAGCCATACCAGAAACTTCACTTGAAATTTGTTTCTCTGCCTGTTATACACTCCTTGTTTCCTTTGCAGAAAGGAAGTACAGGAAAAAGCTAGGCTTTAGGAAGTCACAGGAGTTTGAGAGCTACTTTGAATGGTGATGTGTAAGGTGCCAAAAGTACTCTTCATGTGATTCTGTGATGAGCATTTCTGAACGTGGCACATAGGTCAAGCATTTAGCAAGAAGGAAGTTGGACTGTATTATAGCAGCATCACTACCATCTGCCTGTATTTCTTGGCTCACCAGTGTTTGACATATAACTTGACTCATAATACTGATTAGAAGGAATGAATAGATGGATGGCTAGATAGGAGGGAAGATGAATAGAAATAGGACAGCAGGATCTTCTTTTGGTAAAACTTTTAGAGAATGTTTGAATCAGTCTATCTGATTATTCCTGCATCTTTCCATAATTTCCAAAATTTTCCTGTACCTTTTCCTTCAGGGCTCTTCATAGCAGAGTGCAATATGATTCATCTCCCATGAAAGGGCTTGCAGATTTTTTTTCACATAGTCATATCTGTGTATTCCAAAAACATTTACCTACACAAAATCCAAAATACATTTACAAAATAAATTATAAGGCACATCTAAAGCGAAGCAAACAGGACCTGAAGACTCAGAGTCATTGTAAAAAAAAAAGAGAGCAAATAATTTGTGGAACTGTAAAAAAATGTGGACCCCGGTATTCAGGAAGGGTAGCCTTTTTTTTTTTTTTTTTTTTTTTTTTTTTTTTTTTTTTTGGTACCAGGGATTGAACTCAGCATGCTTGCAAGGCAGGCGCTTATGCTGCTGAGCTAAATCCCCAGCTCCCTGCTCTTCAGAAAGGATCGGCTCGCTTCCAGAAGCCTCCCCCAAGCCTAGCTGCCTGATCTGGGTGAACTTTGCAGCCCAGGATCTAAGTTTTGGTAGAACCAAGTTTTGTCAGCCCGCAAAAATGAGTAAGCTGGCTAGCAATGGTCTGTAGGTAAACTCAGGATATTTTATAAATCAAAGTACTCATTATTTACCTCAGGATAATTGTGGAGTTAATCACACTATGTACAGGTAGTAAATCTCAACCTGCAGACAGATATACCCATGGTGCGAAACCAAACAAGAAGGCTGCTTGGTGAGTACAGGATCACAACAAGGTTATTCCTATAGTTAAACGCTTTAAATTCAGATGCTTGTACAAGGACTGGGACATGCATGCATGGTGCCCAGTGTCAGGTGGGCACTCACCATGCCACTCAGGGCTCATTTGGTTTGCTAAGTAACATTCCTTCTGTTTGATCTGTTTTTCCTAAAGATGGCTTGAAACTTCTAATCCATTTATATTTAAGGCTACTTGTTCAGAAACATTCCAGAGACAGTTAATATCTGTTCTTGTATACCACATATTTCCAAATTAATTCTCAGGGAAGTTCTAGTTCAATTTCAACTCTTTTTGAGTGCCCTATTCATGTAATCCCATGTGATCCTTCCTTTGGCACTATTGCAGAGGTCATTGAGATCCAGCTTCCAATGCAAGCTGGGTAGAGATGAGCCAGTCACTTAACTTCTCTGAGCCTGCTTCCAGGTCTGTTAAATGGTTCAGGAAGTAGACTATTGTTAGGATTAATTACGGTAACATCGGTGAAGCACTTGGCACATATGCAAACTCTCATTCACAGTGAGCAATAATAACGTGACTATTATTCATTATCTCTCATTCCTCTATTCAGCTTGCCTTCCCTGAGCACCCACTGAATGCCTGGCCTCATGCTAGGCCAGGAATCTAGCACAAGGTAATTACTACCACTGAATATTAAATTTAGCTCTTAGTTTCCTGGCTGCCAAGGCCCAAAGGGCCAAATTAATTATTGCTAAGGTTTTTTTTTTTTTCTGAGCTCAAGTTTAT